AAAACAGACTCTGTGACAGCAGAACAATGCAGTGCCAAGAAGTCTTTGCTTTTCAGTGCTAACTCTTAGTGTGATTTGTCTCAGTGCTCCAATTCAAACACAGAGATCAGCAGGATGGATCAAAACACAAAAATTATTTTTTATTTAAAAAATATAAAGATAACACTCTGAAAAACTCAACTGAACATCAAAACCAGTAGTAATAACCATGAGCCACTAATAATATTTTTCTGGGTTTTCTGAATTTTTCCCCAGGTTCTTGGTGTGTCATTCATGTACGACCCATCTGAAATTCTTTGGGAGAACAATAAAGCATTAATAGATGAATAGAAAAAAGCAGCCAATCACTAATGAAAATGCTGATGGCTTTCATATTTAAAGTAAGAGAAAGCAATAAAATACTGGCATATTGAAAGTAATTTTTTGTACAAATATTTTCTGGAAACTGTATTCACGTATCTTTCTAACATTTATCTTCCCCATTGTACCACAAAGATACAAAATAAAATACATGAAGTTTTTTACAGGAAGTTTTCGTAGATCAGTAAGGATTTATATCTGAAAACAGCAGCAGTAGCTGGTCAGATAGTCCAGCATTCCAAGGGCCGGTACAGGGGGAGCCAGCAAAGGGCCTCTCTGCTCAGTTCACCCCTCTGCCCAAACTCTCCCCTGGGAGACCTTATTCTGATCCATGTCTTTAAATCCCAGCTCTTTTCCAGTAACTCTCCAATACATCTGCCTACATGAAACCACCCCTCTGAGCTAGATTTGTATACACACTTGCCACCTGCCTGTCTTTAACTAGATGCCTGAATTGTAATCTCTAAATTCACATGATCAATAAGGAATACACAATCCTGTCTTGCAAAAAGGAACGCCACCATATCTTCCCTGAAATCTTTCCCATTTCAATACCAGCATCAACTACTTAAGTCAAAGTCCTAGAAGGCACTTTATTTTATTTATTTATTTATTTATTTATAGAATCAATGTCCTCTCTACTGACCATTCCTTTTGCATCCATATTCAAAACATCAAACCACTGTTGTCTCTTTCCTCTGTTACAGCCATGATCTCTCTAGATTCAGTCCAAAATCTCATCACTGGCCTCCCTGCCTCTTCCTTCTCCATTACAATCCATCCACCAAAGCAACAGTCAGAGATGCTCTTTCTAAAAAGAAAATCACATAATGTCAACTCTCTGTTTGAGACACACTTCCCATCACTCATAGGTAAAATTCTTAACTCCCTCCCATGGCTGATAAGCTCTGACACCAGATGACTTCTCCAGCCTCATTTTCCTCCTGTGTCCTGTCCATCCCCACCTCCACCCACCATGTCCTGGGTACTGTGACAAAGTTCATGTCCAACCTAAGGTCCTGGCAGGCTCTGTTTCTTCTGTCTGCAGCACAACTCTCCTAAATGTGCATGAGGTAGACACACTGTCAGTATCTACGTTTCAACAAGCACCTTCTCAGACAGGTCTTCCTTCTCTTTCTGAGTTCAATCAACTGCCACTAAGTGTAACACTGCCTTATTTTGTCTTCCACACAGTACTAGCATGGACTAATATTATACTAAAGATATTAAAATGCAATGAGAAAATAACAGGTGGGTGAGTGACATTATTACGGGCCCCCACAGGTAAACATAGACACTACAAAGGCTGTCTCCTGGCATCTGAGGAGTGAGCTGATGACTTGCTGGTACAAACCAGTCCTTAGACTTCGCCCCACAGGAGCGTTGCTGAGAGCCTCTGCAACTGCGGCCTCCTACACCATCAGCTCCTCTGGGAAAGGAAAGACTTGCAGGCCTCCCTGAGCTCCTGCTTGGCAACCTGCCTATTCCGAGCTCCAGCTTCCTGCATTAGGAACTGCTAGCCACTTTGCTCTTGTCGAGCTTCATTTATTTTCACCATTAGAATGACATAATTTTTACTAAAACATTTATCAAACTTCTAAGTATTTTCCAAGCTGTCAAAAATGCAAATAGGGGAGTTAACATATTATCAGAGAGCTTTGTTGAATGAGTAGGTCACAGAGAAGAACAAATGATCTTTTGTCTTTAAGGGCACTCAAATGCCAATATCTGCATGTCTAGAAAACGAAACCTAGACTAGACATCAAACAGCCAACGGTGAAATCTAAATCCGGCTTTGCTTTCTTTTCCATATCTTTCTATACCATGAAAGCTCTTGGGATGAAAATATAACTATGCACAAACAACATCCAAGTCTAGTTCTATTTTAAAAGTGAAACATTGGCACAAAAGGAAGCCTTAACCTTATAGAACTATCAGGTTCAAAACAACAGTGAAACAAGCCTGATCCTGAACTTGATCCCAGCTCCCCACACTCAAAATGCCATCCTGCAGGAGAGAGTGGGGACAAGTACTGATAGAATAAATGGAGTAACACTGCTTCAGTGTCACATGCTCACCAACACCCAGCTGGCCAGCCCAGTCTGACCCTTATATTTGCGTTCGGGATTCCCATTCAGAAGGGGTCTCAGGCTCACAAGCGATGGATGACTAAAAACACTTTCAGAACCTCTACCTTTTTTTCCCATTTTCAAATTGTGGTAGAAGGCAAACAACAACAACAACAAAATTCAAGTTATTGTACAATCACCACAAACATCTGGCTTGAGAGGAGTCCACTTCCCAAATCAAAACTCTGTACCCATTAAACAACCACTCCTCCGCTCTACCTCCATAATCCTTGAGCAGCCACCGCCTTACTGTCTGTCTCTGCCTTTGACTCCTGCAAAGCCTTCAGTAAAAGACGGACTTCTGTAGTATTTGTTCTTTTATATCTGGCTTACTGGCCTCTGCATACTGCCCCCAAGACTCATGAATGAAGTATCCCAATATCAGAATTGCCTTTCTAGTTGAGGCAGATACCCCACTGTATAGTTAAGCCACAGTTGGAATGCTTACTCTTTCACGGTGCCCCCATAGCTTCTAAGTTTTAGCTCTTGTGAGCAATACTCCCATAAGTATGGGTGGATACACATTTCCCTGAAATCTCCTTTCTGCGCTGTGTGTGGGCTACATTCTTAGAAATGGAATGGCTATGATAATTCTATGGGCAGTCATTCTGAGGAACTGCCATGCCGTTTGCCACGGCAGCTGTACCACGTGATGCCTCTGCCAACATTGCATGATCATCTCCAGGTCCTCACTAACACTTGCTTTCTGTCTTCTAACAGCAGCCCTCATCCTGGGATTGAGCAGGTATAGCCCGACCTGGTATTTTCCTAATGATTAAATTATAATCCCTTTTGCTTCCGTGTTATTTTATTTTGAATATGAATATGAAAAATCTTTCTTGTCTTCACCACTCCCAACAATGCTGCCTCAGCTTTCACATCTTGAGGCCTGGGTTTTCTCTCTGCCACCTGTTATTATGTGAAGAGGAGCACAATAGAGGCTAGTATTTAAATTTGTTTCTTCACTCACAAAGAAAATTCTGACTACATGAAACAATTGTCAAGCAATCAACAATGAGAAGAGAACACCTAATCCTTAAAGAAAAGCCACCTGCTCATTTGACTGTCTGGAAGAACACAAAACACGTCTGAAGAACAGGACATTCCTATTGCTACTCTACCAAAAATCCTCGTTACCAAAAACTTTTAGACAGTTAGAGACACAGGCTGGAGATCAAGATTCAGGACAAGCATCAATTTGATTCTTGTTTATTTCTCTCTTTGATCCTCGCAGAATTTTCCTTGGAATTCAAATCAATAACTGTGATGGGGCGATTATTCTGCATGTGCAGGCGCAGTAACTGCATCACGTTAGGAGACTTCAAAGCATGAACTTGAGCCTGTAGGAGTACGGGGCTGGGGTAGCTAATGGACAGTTTGCTGGTTGCCTGTCCTACCATCCGTAAGGTGTCCTCTGATTCTACCACACCTTACTAAGGTTAAGGTATAAGTAGCTGAATATATCATTGGTTGAGCTATTTTTATAACTTTTAAGTTGTATAGACAGAGTACATAAAATGGCACAGTATTTCAAAGAATGTCTTTTTTATCAACTGGAATGTAAAGTAGCTTATTCTAATAACCTTTCATTTACAGAATGTTTTCCTCACATTACCTGTGAATTCAATCCACTTACCTCCAGGGCTCAAAGAGTAACAGGTATATGGTTCCAATCAATGTCCTTCAGCCCATCCATAAGAAGAATGTTTCATATGTTATTTTGCAATTTCAGGCCACTTAAAGAATCTTAATAAAACTACAGATCCAAATTAATTCTAGTACAAGAATATAATTGAGGTTAAAAATCTGGGATTTCTGGTCATCCTGCTCTATAGTTAAATGCCCGATTCTGATTCTCTAATAAGATCCTCAGGGGTTCTGGCCATACACAAAGATTCTTAAATAGGAGAAAGATAGCTCCATTCCAGAAAAAAAAAAAAAAAAAAAACCCTTCCGGTGATTCTAATGAGCAACAGATTTGAGATCAAGTATTCTTGACATTAACAGAACCCCGTTTAAAAAAAAAAAAAAAAAAAAAAAAAGCAAATTCATTCCTGATGCAGTGGGCGAGGCAAGCAGTAGATTTTTCACTCTGTTACAGAACTTTTTTTAGTAAAGTTCTAGCTATGGAGGGGAGAGAGAAAGGAAACTCATAAGTCAAGATATATGAATGCAAGAAAAATAAATAACATACACATTCTATTTCTAAGATAGTAGGCTATCTAAGAATAAATCACTATCCACAATCCCTAACTATATACAAATACCACTTTTATGAAATGAACATTACACACTTTTCTGTTATGAAGGAGTCTACATGTTACTCCCTGTTCATCAGGTTTTTGTTGTAAAACTTCTTAAATTACCCTTGGAACTTTATGCAAAATGACTTTGGTGTTTACATTACTAAGATCCTTTGGATGCAATTCAAGAAAAACTTGACTTATATGAATTTTATCCCAAATTCAAAGAAAGTAACTAATCATTTTATACAAATAGAATAACATGTACCTTTAAATTTCTTCTTAAGTGAAAGCCAATATCATCATTCCTGAAAAGGAAAAAGTTTAAAACGTAGCCAGAATACATATTATTAAATTGTACCCCAACATTTACAGAGCAAGATGCACACACACACACACACACACACACACACACAAATGCATACACACACACACACACACAACAGAAACACACATTTCTAAATCCCCTGTGCACGTATAGGATATGCATATGGATCATACAATGTTGACTTATTAGTCATTCCCGGGACTCTACTTGGAAATAATTATCTTTTGCCTACCAATTAAAACCTACTGCAAATTCATTCATGTCTCCCACAAATTAGCATGCACTTCCAAAAAAGAACACATAATCTGGTGAGTAGAGAGGCAGATGGGGGGAGGTGGATCTTTTCAATGAGAGATTAACATAAACTGTTGTTTCTCTCACTATCTTTTACCAAAAAATAACTGTACTCTTTCCTAAAATGACATTCTTTCTTGATACTTTATCAGGAAAAATTTGGAGTTCTAAGACGAGCAATACCGATTTTGTGAGGCAAATACCACTGCTTCAAATCCCCGAGTCAATTCACAGCAGCTACTTAAGAGCTGCAGAAGGCCTGGCAAGAGTATTTATTTCCTGCGAGAATCCTGTTCAAGCAAACTGTCCATTCAGCAGTTCTGCAGGCTACTGTCTCACCATGCGACAGGCCCACTTATTCATAAACAAATCATTAACATTCTTGACATAAATCCATAGTGGACCATTAATCCCAACTATGATAATGTTTTAGTACATTTGCTCTGCTCACCATGAATGGGAGTGTTGTCTCGCAAAACCCATCCTTGACAAATAAGAGACAAATTATGCCCCGTGAGAAAACTTGGAGAATGAACGGCTTACACACCAATTACCGTCTCATTATCTGGCTCATGCCGAAATAGATCCTGTGTGCTTTGGGTGAAATGTAGAATTTTCTTACTCAGACCAAAAACTACAATTTGCCAAGGTGATTTTTATTGGTCAAAGTCATCTCCAAGCCACACTCTGGGGCTACTCCTCGTAAAAGCAAATCAGTAAATACTACTTAAGGGGGGAAAAATCCTTGTACGAATTAAAAATAGCAGTGATGGTGGCAGCTATAATAACCAGTCAGTGCTATGACTTATTAGCATTTCAGGGTTCATTATATTCTGCTTAAGAGTTGTCAAAAAGGGGTTTTAAATCATACAGATGTGATCGCAGGGTCATAGGAGACTTAAAGTCCAGTAGACTCGATTGACAGAACACTTCTGCTTAAATTTATTTACAAATCCTCCAAAGAGAACTTGAACACTAAGCTTTATTATAGTTAAAAGCATTAGCTAAGGGCTGGCCAGATAACTCAACAGATTAAAGCACCTGCTTAGGCAGACGCAGAGGCCAGGGGTTTGATCCCTGGCCTGCTGTGCCGGCCCTGACCCTGGGGTCCCCTGAGATGGCTACTGAGACTGGTTATGGTGGTGTAATCCCAACACTTGGGAGACTGAAAAACAGAAGGATCACTACAAGTCCAATCTGTGTAGTGAGACCCTGTAGACCTTTTACTAAAGAGTACATTTTTTAAAAAGCATTAGCTAAGCACCCCCACACAAGTGCTCCACTCTAAATGGATCCAACTCTCACTCCTTAACCATGACATTGTAATGTAAGTATACTTAGAACACTGTGATTTGTTTTGTCCCTAATTGTACCTATAAACTATCTGCTGGATAAGACTCAGGCTTGTAGTCTGAGAGCCAGCACTTCAGATATTTGTATTGGCCCAAACAACACTATGACTCTATTGAATTTTCCAGAAGGTATCTGGCTTCCAATAGAGGTTGGGGAGAACACTGCTTTTAAATTTTTGCATGTAAAAGAATCACTTAATGATTTTGCTGAAATTTAGATTTCAGGCCAGTGAGTCTGAGGCAGAAGATAACCTGAATTTCCAGGCAGGCGCTTAGACCACTGTGCTATCTCGCCAGCCCCAATAACCTGAATTTCTATCCAACCTCCACATGAGCTGGTACCTCTCTTTGGATCACACTTTGAAAAGCATAGTGGAGAGAACTATGTTCTGACAATGGCTGGGACGACGAGCGGCTTGGTTAGGCATGACATGGAACCCTCTTCCTCTATTCAATTTAGCTCTCCTTATTATTAATACAATCACTAAGTCAATAAATTGAAATCTAAAGTCAAGATTCCCATAACTTTTAGAGTCAAAATGGAAGAGCAGAAGTATGAAGAAAATGTGTATAACATTAACCTGAGAAGAAATCCCCCACTGACAGCCCAGAGTCCACTCTTACTGTACCCTTCCAGATAAGGCAGAAGGCCATAAGCACAGCTCTGAGTCTCTCAACCTCAATATCTTGATCACAAAAATACAAGTGGAAAATGATGACTGCACAGTCTTAGCACAAGATAAAATAAAAACAGGAAAATTGCATTAGCACCACAGGTCTTTGGTGATCGTAAAACAGTATTCAATCTAATCCTGGATCTAGTAGCATGAGCTCAATTGGGCATAAAAGACCCAGCTGGGTTTGAGTCCTTGCTGTGCCATTTATTAGCAACTCATCTTCAGGCAAATCACTTAGTCCAGAGGTTCTCAGATACAACAGTGAAACCGGCACTAAACTAACCACATAGTAACTACTTGATAAAAGTTCAGTTTCTATTGCCCACCACCATGGGGCTGGTAACCAAGAGTGACCAGAGATTTTCATACAAAAGGTCTGAGGTGCAATTTCAATTTCTGTATTTTGTACATATGTCCCTACAAAGGATTAGAAACCATTGCCATCGCCTTTTTTGAGCTTCAGTCACTTCACATGTAATGCACTACCCAACCTTCCCCGCCCCAACAGAGTTATGAAAGCAGGGCTTGGTAAAAGACAGAGCCCTGTGACTGTGTTACCACTACATTTGCTAGGCACAGGCTGAAGGACTCAGTCACGGTGACTCTCCTGAGCTGGACATAACCACTCCCCTTGAATTTATCTTCTGTTTACACCTCTAGTCATAAGTAGATTGAGAGTATTTGCACACTCTGGTTTCTGGTAATATTTCTCTCTTTTAATCCCCACAAAGCAATCCCTGCCCAGCACTCTGGGTCAGAATGGAGATGACTTCTCTTTCCCATCCCACTTCTGGGTTGGCCCATTGCAGATGCCCTTGAACATTTTGCAAAACCCAAGAGCCAAGGTCCACCCCGCCCCCGTGAAATCAGGCTTGCGTGGAGGGCAGCAGCCTTGTCAGCTGCTAAGAATGGAGTTTCCAGTCAGAAAGAAAGGTTTCTCTCATCACACAATATCTCTTACCTCTTTTATGACTTCCCATCTGCTTTACCTTGGATGTGGATATAATCCAAGTAACAATTGTCACAAAGGAACATGTATTTCTACCCTCCGGTTTTGGAAGATAAAAATCTTATTGCAATTACAAATCTTAGGTGGAATGGAATAGGGCTTATAGAGCATATTTCTGTGGAAAGCAGCTGGGCTCTTATGCAGAGACCTAGGGGTTTTTTTCAAAAGCATGAATTGCGGTTGCTTCACGGTCCCTTTCATTTTTTCTTTCTCCCTCCTGTCCTGCCTCTCCCTCCTTTTACTTTTCTTCTAACAGTGTTCTGGGAACTCACTGAATATTACTTCTTGGCTCTATTTGTCAAAAAAATGTAGCGTATAATTCCTACAGGACAATGACAGAAAGGGAATAGAATGGGAGAGAAAGAGATGGAGAGCTACTGACTGTGAACTAGGGTTCTGGTTTCCAACGCTAGACTCATGCAGGTAATGAGGATTAGAGAGTCAGGTCTGATGTAACTGACATCATTTAGCAAATGATGAATGATACTTGGCTTTTATGGCTGGAGATCTGGCGGGAAAACACAGGGGTGGTAACGAGAGTGATCAGAATTTTAAGCAAAGCAAGTGCTCTCTAAAAGTTAAACTGCTGTTGATTTCAATGCAAGAGCTGCAAACAAGAATATGACATAGCATTGCCAGCCTGCCAGTGTTTGCTAGAAGGTCACATCTGAGCAGACCACACACTGCAGTATGAAAAGTCTCCTCTTCTGGTGCTTGATGCAACTGAAAATTTCCGAAAGCTCTGCGTTGGCCAAAGGAAGCAGGCCAGCAGGGCAAATGAGGCTTGCTTACTGTTATCCAGGCAAGAGCTGGCGGAGGCACTAGGTAGTCACAAGAACCTGCTTTCGCTCCATCCTGGGGTCATTCTGCTAATCCACATTTCCCTGCCTTCCTCAGAACTTGTGCTGATAATTGATAATTTTTAACCAATAGAATGTGAGCAGAAAGAATGGGTGTCTCTGAGGGACCAAGACTTGAGGGCAACAGGTCCCCGCCACTACCCAGCATGTGACCTTTGTGCCTAGTCTTCTTGCCTACTCCATACGTACAGACAACCATGAGACCATTCTGAGGAGGAAGCATTGTGCCTGATCCACTGGAGATGAGGTCTTCTAACTTTCCTTCTGCATGTGCAGATATTCTATTAGACCCATAGAAAAGAGACTGGACGCTGTGTGCCGGTGTGGTGCTAGAAACCAGCAGTAGATGTCAGAGGTTCAGCACATAAGACCTCACTCAGTGGGCTCCCATATCAGCCAGCAACAGCTGTCTGCCTCCAGGGGGGACCCTAAAAACTAAGCAAAGACTTTTGCAAACAATCAAGGAGGGTTAATCACTTTTTCCATTTACTTCCGCCCAATAGGATTTAATTAAGTATACTTTAATTAAATTTTAATCAAGCTTTCTGTGGCTGTAGACAGCCATTGCTGAAAAGTAAATTGACTGGTATATTCTAAAAACCCCTTTCTAAATAAAGCTGCCTTATAATGAAAAAAGAAATATTCATTGTAGCAATGTATTATTCTCTCCTCAAAAGTGAAAAGAGGCTGGGAAACAGGGAAATGAATAAATAAAAGAGATCAATCATATAAAGAGGGAGGCCAGTACAGGGGTGAGATCAGAGGTGACGTGTTAGCCACAAATCAGA